GCAGAGCCCGGTCTCAGCCCCCTCCTCTGGCACTCTACAAGCATGGACTCCTGACTGGGACGAGCTCTTCTCCGATGCACTGTCCTTCCCACCATACTCACTAATGTCACTGCTTCAAGACGCCTGTGTCTCTACTCCCGAATCGCAGGAAGCCCATTGACTTACACAGAACTCACCGGTGAGCCCGGCATGGATGGCTCCTGCCTGTCAGCCTAGCTACTCAGGAGACTGAGATCTGAGGATGGAGCCCTGGCAGGCAGACTCTTACCTCCAGTGAACCAACAAAAACCCACAAGTGGAGCTGTGGCTCAAGTGCTAGAGAGCACTGGCCTTGAGTGAAGAGCTCAAGGACAGCACCCAGGCCCCTGAGTTCAAGCCCCAGGACCAGCACACACACAAAAGGAAGAGGATTTGACAGTCTGCACTCCCCGGCTGAGTCGGGGGGGGGGGGGGGGGGGCTCACTACGCAGCCTCGGCTGGCCTGGAACTCTGACTGCCCCACCTGAGCGTTTTGCGTGCTGGGGTTTTAGAAGTACACCGCCACATCTGGGTTGTCTTGTTTGTAAAGATTTACCCCAGCATAGCATAGCATTTCTTCAGTGTTGGAATCACTTCCCGTTGATGAAAAGGAAGGTGAGGACGAAGCTGTTTTTGCTGGAACCCTGAACTCCCAAGCAAATGGCTTTCCATGTCTCAAAGGCCGTGCACTCGCCTCTGCTTTTCCCAGAGAGACTTTATTATTCACACAGTAAAGTCACAGTGCAGAAAACAGCCAGCATGGCACGCAAGCTGCTGACAAGCTGAAGACACAGGCGGAAGACACCCTGATCCTTGGAGAAAGCCCAGCTGGTCTACCCATTATCCTCCTCTTTCTAGGGGCCGAGGTGTACCCAGACAATTGCTCCCAGACTTGCCACACACCAAAAATAAAAACGTTCACAGGTTGGTGCTTTTGAACTCTAACCAAATAGCTTTTCCAGTTACTCTGAAATAAAAACAACAACAAAAAAACACCAATGCAAAAAAGCAAGTCATGCTTCCTCTATCTGCACAGACACAATGAGCTCTGCAGGCTGGTAGAGTAACCGCACAGCAAGACCAAGGCCCTGAGTTCAAACCCCAAAAAGCCAAGGCAGTGATCTTTCTAGCACCCCGGAGGCGAAGGCAGGAGGATGGCAAGAGTTCCGGCCAGCTGAGGCCACAGTGAGACCCATTCGCAAAACCAAGGCAGCCAGGGCCAGTGGCTCCTGCTGATAGTTCTAGCTACTCCAGAAGCTGAGACCTAAAGGATCAAGGTTCAAAGCCAGCCCAGGAAGATTGAATCAGCAAAATGCCAGGCTGAAGGCATAGCTCAAGGGATAGAGTGCCAGCCTAGCAAGGAGAAGGTCCCCGAGTTCAAACTACAGTTCTGCAAAACACATCAGCAACAAGAACAAAATTAAAATCTTTGGAAATGTCCCAAAGAAAACATAGCAAACACAAAAGTTACTATAAAAGCCAGTAAGAACAGAAATATTTGTATTTGAAACACAATCCTGCCTTCCAATTCAGTGGGATAAAACTTCCCATGAAGAGTAGGCCCAAGAACACAACCCACCCCACCCCCAGGCCCCCATGCCCACCCTGGAGCTGAAGCTTCCTCCTAGGAGGAAGAGGATGCGCTATTTCTCATCCAGCTACCAGCTGCTGAAGCTAACCCCTGGGCAAGTACAACTGAGAGATGACAGATCTTTCCTTTTGTCCATACAAAGTCCCTACCACCACCGTTCCTCCCTCCTACCCCCTCTCTCCAGGCATAGCATTTTGGGAATAAGAGAGCCCAGACAGCCCACACAAAGGGAGACTATATACAGCCCACACATCTTCCCCTATCTGTCTTCTTTCAGAGAAGAGCATCTCCAGAGCCTGGGTGCAGAGACGCTGTGGGCTTATGACAGTGAGCTAGCAACTGATCCAAAGGGATTGCCTTCACCCCCAAGAAAGGCCAGTGACTCAGAACAATGGAGGAGCCAACAGCAGTGGCTCACGCCTATAATCCCAGCTACATAGGAGGCTGAGACCTGAAGGATCATGATTAAAAGCCAGCTGGGGCAGGAGAGTCTATGAGACTCCATCTCCAATTAACCAGCAAAATGCTAGACTGGTGGCATGGCTCAAGTGGTAGAGCACCAGAAAGCTGCAGGAGGCCTGGAATTCAAATCACAATACTGGTGGGTGGGTGGGTGGGTGGGTGTGTGCGCACGCACGCGCGTGCGCGCACACACACACACACACACACACACAAAATGGTGGGTATAGAAGGAGCCCAACATTTGTGTGATTCCCATTACACAGAATTACAAATGTAACTTCCATTACGAAAGAAACAGGAGAGAAGTATTTGAAGAAGCTTGGAGTGGCGCTACATGTCTGCTAATCTTGCCTGGCTACTTGGGAGTGGCGACAGGAGGATCACAGTTCAAGGTAAAGCGTTAGCAAGGTGGCTCAGTGGTAGAGCGCTTGCCTTGCATGCACGAGGCCCTGGGTTCATTCCTCAGCAACACATAAGCAGAAAAAGCCAGAAGTGGTGCTGTGGTTCAAATGGTAGAGCCACTAGCTAGCCTTGAGCTGAAGAGCTGATGGACAGCACCCAGGCCCAGAATTCAGGCCCCACAATCAACAAAAAATGAATAAATAAATAAGTTAGAAGCCCTGTGTTCGAGTTCCAGTTCTTTAAAAAAGAAAAGGTAGCTGGGTGCAGGTAGCTCACGCCTATCATCCTAGCTACTCAGGAAGCTGAGATCTGAGGACTAAGGCTCAAAGCCAGCCCAGGCAGGAAACACCGTGAGACTCTTATCTCCAATTAACCACTAGAAAACCAGAAGTGGCGCTGTGCCTCAAGTGGTAGAGCGCTAGCCTTGAGCTGAAGACCTGAGGGACAGCGCCCAGGCCCAGAGTTCAAGCCCCACGACCGACCAAAAAAAAAAAAAAAGAAGGTAGTTGAGGGGGTGGGGGGGCAGGTAGTTCACACCAGTAAATCCTAGCTACTCGGGAAGCTGAGATCTGAGGATCCTGTTTCAAAGCCAGCCTGTTAAGAAAGTCCATGAAACTCTTACCTCCAATTAAATCACAGAAAAAGCCAGAAGTGGCACTGAAGTTCAAGTGAGAGAGTGCTGCCCTTGAGCAAAAGGAGCTCAAGGACAGTGCCCAGGCCCTGAGTTCAAGCGTCAGGACTGGCAAAAAGGAAAAAAAAAAAAAAAAACCAAAGGTGTAGGCATGGTAGTTCACACCTGCAGACCCAGCCACACAAGAGATTTAGGAAGGATTGTGGACTGAGGCCAACTTGGAAAAAGTTGGTATAAGACCCTATCTGAAAAATAAACCAAAAGCAAAAGGATTGGGGACATGGCCCAAGTAGCACAAACAAGGCTCTGAATTCAAGCCCAAGAACCAAGAAAAATGAGAGAAGGAGGGAGGGAGGGAGGGAGTGGGTGGGTGGCGGATTGGAGGCTGGGGCTGCAGGTGGCTGCAGCTAAACAGGGTACAGATTTCTTTCTAAGGTCATTCTTAGGACTCAGAGGATGGCTGCAAAACTGTGTTATCAACTGAAAAAACGAGAGTGTGTCCATCTTGAAATGGGACAATTATAGAGTACTATTATATCTCAGTAAAGCTGTTGCTAATACAGCGACTAGAAGCTTTATTCATTTTTAGACTCTGATAGTTTTTAAGCTGTAGTTAAAAAAAAACCCTCTGTAAAGCAACTACTGCAGATGCTTCTGGGTATTTTCCATCACGGTAGTTCTAACTCCGAGTGAGCCCCTCCTTGCTCCTTCCCTCTCGGATCGATTTCTTTGGCTGACGGCCAAGCCGCTCTGCCCCGGACCTGAGCCGGGTGCTCTCCCATCCCCGTCCAGTCCTTCGCCCCCTCTTCACAGCACTGGCACTCACCCCCGTGTTCCTCTTGCTCACTCCATTTTGTTAGCATGAGACGGGGCCTCACTATGTGGCTCAGGCAGGCCCCAAACTCCAGCTCCTCCTGCCTCAGCTTCCCAAGTGCTGGGATTTCAGGAATGCTGCACCATGCCTGGCTCTCCTCCACAATGTTAGCAGCGCCAATTCCACTCTGATACCAGAGCCAGACCCCAGCGCCAGGCCACATCCACAGTTCCTGGCCCACGCCAGCACTCCTCCTCTCCATTCCCAGCAGTGGCCTACCTCCCTCTGCAGGTGCCGGAGTCCCTACTGTGACATCGATGCCCGCCAGCAGCAGCTGCACTGCAAGCCCCTCAGTGGCAAACCCATCCAGCACACGGCACACTGATCTGATCTTTAAGTCAGTCCAGCTCCCCGTCTCTTTAGCCCGGCAGAGCCCTCTCTCTGAAGTTACCCTGGCTGCACTGGCTCCCACAGGAGGGGAGGGAAGGGGGAGGACCCTGCAGCCACTCACCCTGCGGTTCCGGTTGTGATCCATGGTCTTGAGGTGCTTCTGGATGATCCCGAACTGCATGGGGATGAAGAGATCGCAGGCCGCGCAGTGGGCGGCCTCCACTTTCCTCACAAAGTGCTCCATGGCGATCTCTGGAGGGAGGAGCAGGAGGAGGGGGAGTCAGCCCTCCTCCCAGGTGCCACACACACCCAAGTTTAGGAAAAAGAAACCAATCAGACCAAACCTGGGCACCAGTGGCTCAAAATTATCATCTTAGCTACTCAGGAGGCTGAGAGGATTGAGGATCAAAGCCAGTCTGGGCAGGAAAAATCCATGAGTCTCTTAGCTTCAATTAACCACCAAAGAGCCCGAAGTAGAGCTGTGGCCCAAGTGCTAGAACACTAGCCTTGAGTGAAAAAACTAAGGGGCTGAAGGCTGATGGCTCACACCTGTAATCCTAGCTACTCAGGAGGCTCAGATTTGAGGATAGCACATGGTTTGAAGCCAGCCCAGGCAGGAAAGTCCATGAGACCCTTATCTCCAATAAGCCAACAAAAAAATAGAAATGAAGCTATGGCTGAAGGGGTGGAGCACTAACCCTGAGCAAGAAAGTTCAGGGACAGCGCCCAGGCCCTAGGATCAGGCCCTGTGTTCAAGTCCTGGGATCTGCATAGATCTGCACAGGTGCATTAGACCAGTCCTTCAGCTCACCCTGACCCTGTGGCCGGGAACAGGAGGCATGCCAGAGCCCTCCGCAGAGCAGCAGAGCAGGGTGGGCAGCGGCGGCCCTGCCTGGCGCCAGCTGGGAACCGCCTCACCTTGGGTCAGGTCCTGGTCCCGATAGATCTGTTGGATCAGACCATCAAGATCCTCCACAGTTTTTCGGAGCTCCTCTGTCTTCTTGGTTTTGTTGGTGACGTACTCCTGCAGGGGACACACAAGGTCACGCGCTGCCTTGCGTCCCCAGGGCCCTGGAGCGAAGGACCGACCGACCACAGCCAAGACTCACCTGCAGGAAGTCGGCCGTCTGCTTGGGCAGCTTGGTGCCCACATACTTAAAGTGCTCCTTGTGGAACTTGCTGTCCAGGTGGCTGGCCATCTCATCCTCGTAGAAGGTCCGGTATTTGCAAAGAGAGCACACGAACTGGATCCTGCCACGGGAGGGAGACGGGAGGCTGAGGCGACACAGGGTCTCAGGGGACGGCGCCGTCGCTTCACCCAACCCAACTGCAGGCCTGAAACACAGGCCTGCTCCTGGACCTCTGGGTGACAGTAGTCCCAGCTGGGACCTGGCGGGTGGGGAGCAGAAAGGGCCGGAGGCTGCGGTTACGGCAATGGAGGGGGCAGGGGAGGAGCTCTTGCTCTTGCTTCCCACGGGCAGGAGGCCGAAGCCCCAGGCAGCAGCAGCTGCAACAGGCCAAGGAGTCGCTGGAAGGTTGCTGGAGGGTCTCTACTGAGGCCGAGCTTGCGCACTTGGCCCAGCTCAGGGGGGGGCCAGAAGGAAGGAAGGAAGGAAGGAAGGATGGAGGCCCTGGCGTGCAGAGTGAAGAACGCAGTCCCGAGGCAGGGCCCGAATAGGTGCTGCCATCTTCCTTTCTCGGGTCTGTGGGACTCAAAGGCCCAGCCCGTCCTCTGCTCGGAAGGCTGGGGGGTGATGTCGGGAGGGGCGGGAGGCGAGCAGGCCTGGGCACCTGCCGCCTCATCTTCCTCTTCCGAGAAGAGACCAGTCTGAGCTGGCAGGAGGGCGCCGGCCCGGCCTGCCAGGGGGCAGCCTGGAGTGAGCGGGCGAGGTGCTCTCGTCTGGGCCTGGTGTCCACAGCAGAAGCCCGGGGTCTAGGGCCTGGGCTGGAGCAGGCCGCCATGACAAGGGGCGGAGGAGGCCAGCTGCCACCGCCACCGAGGCCTCGGGACGGGTCCCTACCTCTGCCGGACGTCCTTATCTGGGCCACGGGGTCAGCTTTGTCTGAAGAGCCCAGGGGCCGGGCGCCGGCGAGGCTGAGGAAGGTCCAACAAGAGCAAGAGTCTGAGGCGGAGGAGGAGGAGGAGGAAGAGGAAGAGGAGGCAATCGCCAGTGCGGGAGCCCTGAGGGCAGACAGACCCGACACCAAGGCGCACGGAGGGCTCGCTCGGCCGCAGACGGCCCGGCTGGCAGCGCGCACGCGCGGCAGGCCCAAGGCGCCGCAGCCCACAGCTGCTGCTGCCATCTCTCCTGGGCACGGCGGCGGCCTCCCGGCAGCTAAAGTTGGGGTGACACAGGCGCCTTGGACCTTGAGTCTCTGACGAGCTGGCCCCCTCCCTCGGGGGCATCAGGCCCCCCGTGAGTGACCGAGCGCCGTAGCTTCTGGGCAAGGGTGCCGAGCCGTGTCGGGTTTCGGGCCACAGATACCAGCAGTCGCAAGGCGGCCAGAGGGGCAGGGGACGAGGTAGGCCTGGGGAGCAGGGCCTGGTGGGAAGCAGGGTCCATGCAGCCCCCAGCGGGGCTGAGCAGCTAAGAGAGGCTGGCCGAGAGAGGCTGGCCAAGAGAGGCTGGCCGAGAGAGGCCAGAGGGCGGCGCAATGGCAGAGCGATGGCCCTGCTGTGCCGAGCGCAGCCCGGGAGCGACACAGAGCCACAGGGACGGGGCGGCTGGTTACCTTTCCACCATGCGGTCACGCTGCCGCTTCTTCTGCTTGTCCTGGCTCTTCTTGGCAGCCTGTAGCTTGCGCTTGGCCTGGCTGCTCTCATCCTGGCTGGTCAGGGCTCCTGTGGGAACAGAAGGGCGCCGTCACCAGCGCGGCTCTGCCAGCTCAGGATGGGCCCTGCGGCCTCTGGCTGCTTCACCCGCCGCCGTACACTCCAAGGGTCCATCTGAGAGCAGCTGTCCACGCAAGGCCGCAGGCCACGAGCAGGGTTGGGTGCCCTGCACTGGGCAAGAAGTGGGTTTGGCCTAGGCCCCCAGAGATGGGGGGGTTACACACTGAGCCCTCCGCTCTCCAGGACACCCTCACTCTCTGCAGAGTGGGCTCTGGGGGAGGGGGGGCCTGGAAGGCAAAGACGAGGCCACCTTGCTAGGGACACTGGCGCGTGTGGCGGGATGCAGGGAGGCCGCACACGTGGCCCTGCCCACCCCCCACCGGGCACCGCGGCAACAGTGGGCTGAGGCTGGATTTACTGTTAGGTACCTGCTGGCGCTCATCACTCAGGTGGGGGGACACGGACTCCCAACAGGGGCTGGAGAGGCGCTAAGGGAGAGGACACGCAAACCAGAGCCGTAAAAACTGCACCAAGGGTCCCAGCTTGGACACCAGCCACTGAGGACTCGGAAGTGGGTGTTACTGAGGGACCAAGGGGCGGGGGGGGGTGCCTGGGGTCCCCCACGCTTTTGCCTGCAGCCCCCACCTGAAGTACACAAAGGTGCCGGGCAGGACTGCCACCATCCACACCCTCTGCCTGAGATGTGGGGCACAGAGTGAGGGGAGGAGCAGGGAAGGAAGAGCCCCTGCCAGCACACACCCATCCCACAGGGATGTCCCCAGCAGGCCACACAGCGCTTCAACCCGGCCCTTGGCTGGCTCCCACCCACCCAGTACTTAGGCCCAGCACCCAGGAAGCCCCGCGAGACTCACCCTTCTCTGACTCATCCTTGCCATCTTCTCTCCCGTCCTCTTTTCCCTCCTCGTCCTCTCCTTCCTAACACACAATGTGATAGTCCCACTTTAAAAGGCAATGAGGTCTCTAAAAGACAGCCCAGGCCCGCGTGTCTCCCTCCTCCCAGGACCCGGCGTGCAGGGGCTCACGGTCCCGTTTCCCCCAAGGGACGCAGGCCCCTGGTGAGTGGTCTGCCCCCCTCCTGGCACTGCCCCCTCCCCCCCCTCCCACCCACCCCGCCACGCAAGCCAAGGCACCCCGAGCCCCGGGCGAGGGCGCCGCCCTCCTGGGCCCCACCGCAGGGAGCAGGGAGCAGGGAGGGAGGCCAGGGGCCACTTACTCGAGAGCCTTTCTCCATGGGCTCAGTGCCTTCCGGGCCCTCGGCGGCCTCCCCCTCGGTGCCCTCGTCTATAAAAGCAGAGGAGCTGGCTCAGGACGGAGTCCCGCAGGGGGGGAGAGGGGGGCAGGCCAGAGCTGCAGGTGGACTGA